AGGCAACAGAAACATATTATGAAACTGAAACTTTGGCTGATTAAACAGATCATTTAAATTGAGACAGATAGATCTTAATATTACTTCTCGGGGGAAGAAATGACAATGCTAGAGCGTACCTAGAAAACAGAAACTTGAGCAGACACAGTAATGACCAGAAAAGGCTATCTTTTACACATTTCTTTTGCTATGCTTCAAATTCATGTCACCCAGAAGTTATGAAGTGCACAAATCAACCCACTTAACTGAGAAGAGTTTCAATGAATGGGATGCTTAGGACTTGGTGAGGTTTTTAAAGATCTTTCCGAATAGCAAATTTTAATGAGGCATTTTAAAGTTGACAATTTAAATTCATACAACAAATAAAAACTCACTACTGTGGCTGGGCAAAATATTTATTTTCTCAAATACTGTTTTTCTGGTTTGTTTTCTCCCTGCACTGTGTCCATGATCCCATGGTGAAACTGTTATGTTGTTGATATATTTATTGAAATAGGTGGGCCAACTTCCTTTCCACTCAACATATGGATTGGTAGTTTAAAATAATTCCTTTCTATTAAGCAAATGTGCAGCTAGGGCACATTTAAATAGCCCATTAAACCAGCGAGATGACAATGTGTTACCCTTAGAGAAAGCTTAATTTTTGGAGTAATTAATTACACATTATCAGAGAATGTCTCATGAGAACATTTTTGGCTGGCTCTACCAATTGGTTGTATAAATAATTATAGATTTTCATTTGAGGCAAATATGCTGATTCATCATTAGTAAGATAGTAACAGGTAATCATTCATTTTATTTTTGTTAGCATCTATCTTTCCTGTGGGGAAACTTACTATGTGTTCTACATTTATTTAATTTTAAATGCCAATTGATTATTCTGAGTTTAAAAAATAACAAAAGTGTGGTTTTAAATCACAGCACCTGCTTTTCTTTTGTCAGTGAAATTATATAAGCATTTACACAAGGAAAGTGTAAGACTTGTGGTTTCTGGTCTCTTTTTACTGTTTGTGAGCCTACTTGTCATGATATTCCACAACCAGTGCACTTGCCTTTTAATGCTTTTTTATGTATCTTCAAACTTACCTACGTATATATACCACTGTTGGAGTGGGCTACTATCATCAGGAATAATGTCATTTGTTTCTTCAAACTCCTTTATTATATCAAAAAAGTGACAGACTGTGCAGTCTGATCATTTTTGGAGAAATACATTAAATTTTTCAATTATCTCACTTTCTAGAATCAAAATAATCTGATGTTTTCTTGCAGTACCCAGTGTGAAAAACAAAAAAACTGAATACCAGTGGGCCCAAAGGAGAAACATCCTCATCATTGTTATTAGCTGTGGACAAGTAATTCAACCTAGTGCTCTCATTTTTGAATGGGTTGTTGTGGGAATTAAAAAAAAAAATTCTAGAACAGCATCAGTGCCTGGGCAGCAGGCACAAATATTAGCTGCAACTGAATTGTTGTCACAGAGATAAAATAGATACAATGGATCCACTTTTCTTTTCTCATAATGCTTCCATTAGTAACAAAGATTGACATCTTCCTTGTTACTGTGACTCTTCCACTTATTTAGAAATGTCAACTAGGGTTTTCTTGGAACGTACAATTAAGGTAGATTGGAAACTCTTAAACTTCAGTGTGTTTAAGAAACATCTGGAAATCTTGCTGAAGATGTAGATTCCTAGCCCTCCCTTTTGAAATTTCACATTTTAAGAAACAGTGATTTAGATCTTTGACTTAGCATGGGCTTAACTTGCCCTCTTATAGGAATATTTTGTCAATGTCCTTCTTCCTGACTTCTGGTATTCTGTAAAGACTCTCCTCACTTTTGAGTGAAAATTAGTTCAACTATTGTGGAAGACAGTGTGGCGATTCCTCAAGGAGCTAGAAATAGAAATTCCATTTGACCCAGCAATGCCATTACTGGATATACCCAAAGGATTATAAGTCATTCTACTATAAAGACGCATGCTCCCGTGCCATTGTGGCACTGTTCACAATAGCAAAGACTTGGAACCCACCCAAATGCCCATCAAGAATAGGCTGGATAAAGAAAATGTGGCACATATACACCATGGAATACTATGCAGCCTTAAAGAAGGATGAGTTCATGTCCTTTGCAGGGACATGGATAAAGCTGGAAACCATCATTCTCAGCAAATTGACACAAAAACAGAAAACCAAACACAAAATGTTCTCACTTATAAGTGGGTGTTGAACAGTGAGAACTCATGAACACAGGGAGGGTGAGGGGACTAGTGGAGGGAAAGCAGGGGGAATGGGGGCTAGGGGAGGGATAGCATGAGGAGAAATACCTAATGTAGATGACGGGGTGATGGATGCAGCAAACCACCATGGCACGTGTATACCTATGTAACAAACCTGAACTTTCTGCACATGTACCTCAGAACAAAAAAGACTCTCCCCACTTTCTTTCAAGTACCCAGTCTTTGTTTCCTTTCCCTAAATTCTCTGGGACAGTTTTGTTTGTCAGTTTCAGTCAGGGAATGAACTAGCCTCGAATTAAAAGCAGCATTTCCAGGCCAGGCAACGTCTGATAGAATGGCTGGTTACATAGCATGCACTGGAAAAGATCATCTATAACCCTGTCTCCTCAGGGAGAGGCAAGATATATTGCGTGAGAAAGCTGAAATTCCAGTGATGCTTTTGTTACTAACTAAATACATGACTATGTCCACGTTTCTTGCTCACTTTGGGTTTAGTTACTGTATCTGGTGGAGGTAATTGATAATACCTTCTCTGGTTGAAGGCCAGATCTCAGGGCTGAAACCAGAATCTTTCTTAGGCTTTTTTTTGATTCTGAGACTTAACGCTTTTCCACGAAGGGCAGTATCTCATGTGTACCCTGACTGAACACAAATTTCACTTTTACACCTTTGCCACATTTTCTTCAGAGAAAATTTATGATTCATTATTTCCTGGTGCAATTCTATGTTTGAAAGATTGTGAGAAGTCCTAGACATGTAAGTGACTCAGCAACAATTTAAACCTACTACCAATTCACATAACACTTGCTGTTAACTTGCTCAGGATTTTATTTATTTAGAGCTATTGGGGTGGGGTGGGGTGCAGGGGGGTGCAGGAGGGTGAGGAGGGGACTGAAATAATATACACTTGGAGGTACTCTCAGATAACTACACCATAGCAGTAATGCTGCTAGTTAAGAGATTTGTTGCAAAGATGTAAAGCAGTATGTATAGAAATTCTTGGACATCTGCTTAAGTTATAATTTAGTTTCTCCACGTATCTCTTAATAGACTAATAAAATCCATAGTTTACTACAGTTTTCAAATAATAACTAACATATAATTTAGAGGTGAGGAATACAGAATAAGATTTTTCTCTATACAGTGTGTCTTCCCTAGGTACGCAATCTTTAAACAAAGATGAAGAAGAAACGTATTTTCTGCTGTCAATGCTATTGTAGGTTATGGGAATAAATTCATTTAGAAATTTGTTCTGAAATAGTGAACTACCAAACTGAAATAGTTTGCTTTTCTTAGTTTTAATTTCATCTGGAATGAGTGACTGGAATGAACACATCAACCTTTGGTTAAATATTTAAGTTCTTCTGGTATAAGGCTTTGTAGCTTTGGGCTCACATGTGCTTGCATATGTATTCCCACATCTTTTCTGATGATCTCTGAAGAGGAAGAAAGAGCATGAATGCCTAGGCATGCATGAGCCTGGTTATTTCTAGCCCTTTCCTATACACAGTCTTCAACATGGCAAATATTTTCAAACAAATACATTGGTTTAAAGAATGACATTGTAAGATAGCTTCATTTTTCATCTAAAAATATGTGCACCTAGGCAATTTCAATGAAAGTGGATTTCTGCTTAAATTATCTAGCTAATTACCTAAATTCCCTGCTTTGCTGTGAGCATATAAAAATTATTTAGGGTATAAAGCATTGAAACTTATAATCAAGTAATCAATATTAATTAATTGTTTCCCCTCAACTTTAGTTTGCTTTTAACCTATGATTAGGTTTATACTCATCACTAAAAAGTGAAAATGTGACTGGCTACAGTGGCTCAAGCCTGTAATCCCTGCACTCTGGGAGGCTGAGGCGGGCAGACCACAAAGTCAGGAGTTTGAGACCAGCTTGCCCACCATGGCAAAACCCTGTCTCTACTAAAAGTACAAAAATTAGCCAGGCATGATGGCAGGCACCTGTAATCCCACCTATTCAAGAGGCTGAGGCAGGAGAATCACTTGAACCTAGGAGGTGGAGGTTACATTGAGCCAAGTTCATACCATTGCACTCCAGCCTGGGTGACAAGAGCAAGGCTCCATCCCCCGCCCCTCAAAAAAATGACAACTTAAACATACACAGACTGTCTCCAATGTTGCTCTGGCAGTGTATTATGGAGAAGTATGTTTGAATTAGGTAGAGAAAATTCATATAAAATATTCTGAAGCTATGTTTTCTAAGGGGAATTGCTTTATCCAATATATATATATAAATCATTGTTCAAATAAATTTCTAAAGATAAACTAGGCCGGGGGCGTTGGCTCAAGCCTGTAATCCCAGTACTTTGGGAGGCCGAGGCGGGTGGATCACGAGGTTAAGAGATCGAGACCATCCTGGTCAACATGGTGAAACCCCATCTCTACTAAAAATACAAAAATTAGCTGGGCATGGTGGCTCGTGCCTGTAATCCCAGCTACTCGGGAGACTAAGGCAGGAGAACTGCTTGAACCCAGAAGGCGGAGGTTGCGTGAGCCGAGATCATGCCATTGCACTCCAGTCTGGGTAACAACAGCGAAACTTCGTCTCAAAAAAAAAAAAAAAAATTAAATTAAAAAAAAAATGAAAGAAAGCTTAGTTTTCCACATGAGAAAAGAATTGAAGTGTAGAAGGGACACTCTTACAGTAACACTGCATAAACTTGAAGCATGAATGTTTTCTACATTTTCATCTTAGTCACAATTAAGGATAAAGAAGAAAAAATATCAAAAGTTTATTCATAGAATCAAGGAGCTTTTATTGATAAAAACAACTATTTCTTTCATAGTAAGTTCTTTTTGTCAGAGGCAGAAATAGAAATTTGATGCTTTAGAAGATATTTTGGGTTTCAAAGAGAAAGTGCTACTTTACTGTACAAAATATGTAGTACTCTGTGAAAGCTGCCTTACAGCAAGAGTTTCAGAAAAGATACAAGAAAGAAAACCAATGCGAGACACTTTCATTTTAAAGTAGTCCCTGTTTCAGTGTTTCTAACAGAAACAAGAGAAAAAGTACTAAGAAATATTTTTCTCCCTTATAAGACATACATCACTCCTGACATTTTTAGAAAACCAACTGAGGCAAATTAGGGGTTTCAAAGCTAGTCACCTTTAAATTGTTGGGAAAAAAATTTGCATTTAAATTGCTCTGCATAGCTTGAGATTTTTCCCTGGAATGTTTATGGCTCTTTTTTCATTCATACTTAAAAAAATACAATTTCATAACCAGTGTATTACTACATCTAGTTGTGTTAAGAAGAGAAACTTCATTTCATAAAATAGAAACATTCAAAGTGGTTTAGGTCAACCAATCACTCAGTCAGAATACTTGAATTCTTCATATTGAACGCTTAATAGTGAAATTAATCTGAAACCATATCAATCTCCATTTCTTATACAGAAACTAGGTCATTAATAGCTCTATCAGAGAGAATAAACTGTGTCCCTATATGCTCTGCTGATAGGAACAAAGATAGTCCAGAACTTCTTGGAAATTTATCCTCAAAATAGTTCATATATATATATTTATACATTTATATATAAGATTTATTTTTAATGGGTAATTCTTAAGTATCATTTCAATAACTTGCTTTACATATTCAGAAATGTAGATACAAGAAAAATATTAAATGTGCAAAATGTTCTTTTTATATGTACATTTAAAAATACAATGTAGTAATAGCTTTAAACTTGTCAAAAAGCTGTTGGGGAAAATAAGCCTTCAATGTCAGAAAATCTGGTTAAATTAGAGCTTTTGCTTGAGAAATTGTAAACAAACTTTTAAAAATTCTCAGAGTTTTCTCAGTTCTTCCCATCCAAGACGCTCTTGAACACATCAAGTCCTGCTTTGAAGTAAACATGAGCTGAATTAATGCTGTTCAACACCTTGGACAGGGCTTCTTGAAGGGTCTCGTCTGTTGCAAGGGGTTTGCAGTGTTCCCAAGCCTCCACAAGTATTGAAAACTGGCCTGTCCGTTCATCAAGGTGGTACAGGATGTTTCTGAAAAGAAATACAAAATGTATAAATGTTTCATGCACAATGCTATTTTTCTATCAAAGGTTGGAATGAATATTTCCAAGAGTCAATGATGTTTTCAATAAATGAATAAATTATAAAAATATAATATAACTATTTTTCAACTCCTAATGAATTAATGAATTTAAACACTGATCACCAAGTTTCCCATACTGATGAGAAAGAGAGAGACGATCAGACATTATATACCTCCTGATGGAAATACACAACACTATGAAACAGAAAAAGAAAGCAGTTGTGATAGAAAAATTATATCTGAATCTGATGATGCTTCTAGATTTAACTGCTAACAAATACAAGAAACAGAAAAAATGTGTTAATTAGACCACAATCTATCATTAGCAAAATATAGATGTGGAAAACTTTATAAGATAAAAGACCCAGTTTATTCAACAAGGAAATTATAATGCAATATATCATTCAGGAGGAACCTAAATAGACCAGAGTTTCTCAACCTTGCCTTCTTACTATTCCGGCTAGATAGTTCTCTATGGTGGTGGCCATATTGTGGCTCTCTTGTGTATTGTAGGATGTTTTGCAGTATCCCTGGCCTCCACACACTAAATATCAGTAGCATTCCTCCTTTATTGTGAAAACCAAAAATGTTTCTAAATATTGACAAAATATCCAAAGCAGAGCAAAACTGTCCACAAAAATATCAACCAATCACAAAGCACAGACCTTACTAGAGCTGTATCTAAACAGTTTAAAATATGAGACATAGTACAAAACTGAGTAGAGATTATTGGGTGATATCAGGAAATTGCAAATATTTTATATGTGATAATGGTATGATCAATGTTTTCTAAAAGTGCCCTTATCATTTAGAAATATTAATAGATACTGAAATATTTGCAAATGAAATGTTATGATGTCTGGAATTTGCTTCAAATGTTTGAAGGGAAGATGGGAGAATAGAGCTATAGACAGTATGGGGCGACACAGATGACAATTCGTCAATAATTGTTGGAACTGGGTAATAGAATTTGTTACACTGTTCTCTCTTCTTTTATATATGTTTTACATCCAGAATATCATCTTCTCACAAGTGTCGAATCCATAATAAGATGGTGCCCTGTAACTTCGTCAAATTGCTGAGAAAGATAAATTTGATTTGGGAAAGTCTAAGACAGTCACCTTTATTCATTTATAGATACAAATAGACGCATTTTGTTAGGAAGCTATGAATTATTGCATCATTGGCTTATTTCCCAACTAAAGCAGCTGAAATCCCATGCTCTAACAAGAAAGGAAACATGTAAATAACTGAAATACATTTTTCTAATTATTATAGTAGAGATGTAAGGTCTAGTTATAACAGATGACAGATTGCTACTGGGAAAGGTCAGAAAATGGTCTAAAATGGAGAATAGTTACACAGCATCTTGAAAGATTATGGGAACTACAAGTTAGAAATGGAAAGAATGGCATAAGAAAGACACAAAATTATAAAACAGCATGATAGCCTAAGTAAAATCAACGTTAGCATTTCCGTAAGACCAGAGTATAGGGCCAGAATGGGCAATGATAGGAGCAGACATGGGAGAACAAGCCATAATCATATCACACAGGGCCTGGTATACCAAGGTAGTAGATTACACTTGTTCCTTTAAGCAATAGGAAACCAGTGAAAAGTGGTTTTCTTTTCACTAAGCAAGAAAGAAAAGTGATTATCTTTCATTTTGGAATAATCACGTTGGTTGTATTATAGGGCCTGGAGAACAGAAGGCACTTAACTCAGTGAAAAGTGACAAAGACTTAAATTACACAGTGATGACTTAGTTTGAAAAGATGGCATCAGGGTCACAGCACAAAATTTATTCATTTATAATTTTCTCTAACACCAACATCAACACGAGAGAGTTCTTCATCACCATTTCCTCTCTCAGCAATGCTTCACTGACCCAGCCTCACCAGCGCTTCTCACCACGTACTCTGTAGGGATTAATGGGCAGTGAAATCTACCTAATCCTGCAAGCCAGAACCCTCTAAGTCATCTGCTTTCCTTACATGTCCAATTGGCTTCTGATATTCATTTATTCATCTCTGTGTCTTATCTGTTGTGATATCCTGATCCATATTTTCGAAGATATATTATGATCTCATTGTTTTATACTTCAGAGTGAAGAACATATTACTTCTGTATCAAGTCTAATTCAGTGCTGTGAAGATAGGAGGTCTTTAGTCATGGTGATTTAATTTACTTAAATTTTTATCCAGCTTACTTCATGCTGGTAACTCAGTAGACCCTCAATAATGTTGATATAAGCCATATTAATTCAGCTTATTTTGGATTTTAAGCCCCAATTAATTGAAGAACAGATTTTATATCTTTGGAGAGAAATTTCTGTTGAAATGGTGGTGGGAAAAGAAGATTCTTGAACAGATAAATTATTTCAATGATTTTGTTCAAGACAGAAAAATTTAAAGGGGAACTATCCCTAATAATGCAATATTGTTGTGAAACATTAAGTTTACTATTGAAGAATATTAAGTTTACCATGCTCCCATGGCTCCCTTATGGAGAACACCTTTTAGTTTTGTAATTAGTGGTGGGTGGGTAACAGCTGCCTACTTGGTATCTTTTTGAGTTATGGGTAAATACAGAACACTTGTTTTTTTTAATAAGAATAGCCTGTTTAAGAGAGAATAAATATGTGGATCAGAATCTGCTCAGGTCCTTCAGCCTGGAAAGCTGTCAGCCCCTGAGGCTCTCAGCTCAGTAGGCTGCTGGTCCCCCAGATAGGTCCACTTTGCTGTTCTATCTAGTGTTTCCAATTGTCTTCAGTGCTGCCTGGGTCTCCCAGCTGCATTGGTACTTTGTACAATATCCTTGATTTTCATGCTTATGAGTAAACTTGGCATAGTATTAAGAAAATAGAGCAGCGCAAGAAAGATACTTTCAAAATTCTGAATATTCTTGAATTCAGGTTTACACTTTGTATTAAGAACAATATATTCCCTGAAAATGAGTGGGAGAAAATTACCTTCCAGGTGGAGTAGCAGGTGGGTTGTGAGCAATGCTGCAGCACAAGGGCTTGCAGACTATGGAAGCGCTGCAGCTCAAGGAGCACATAAGAGCAGACAGCACTGCCTCTGACATAGGGGAAAACCCCACCTGCCTCATCACCAAGACTGCTGACTTGACCCACATTCTGGTCATCTGGTCTGTGAAATGCACAGTCTATGCCCATGCACACAACTGCTCCGGGCCTCTTTTACAGATGAGAAACGTGCAACCTGGGAATAAAGTATATGTTCAATAAATACAAAATTGATTCATCATCCAGAAACAGGAACTGTCAGACCCCCGTATACTCATAAAAATTTGTCTCTACTTCCAGAAGCAGAACACTCTTTAAAGCAGGCGTTTTCCCCTTTTTACTCCCCAGGTATTCTTTTTTTCTTTTTTTGAGACAGAGTCTCACTCTGTGCTCTGTCACCAGCCATCAGGCTGGAGTGCAATGGCACGACCTCGGCTCACTGCAACCTCCACCTCTTGGGTTGAAGCAATTCTCCTGCCTCAGCCTCCCGAGTAGCTGTGACTACAGATGCGCACCACCAAACCCAGCTAATTTTTTTGTATTTTTAGTAGAGACGGGGCTTCACCATGTTGACCAGAATGGTCTCGATCTCTTGACCTCGTGACCCACTCGCCTTGGGCTCCCAAACTGCTGGGATTACAGGTGTGAGCCACCGTGCCCACTCTCCCCAACTATTCTTAACATTAAAGAGATTTTCAGGAGAAGCCATTCAACCATACAAATGTAATCATATAAGAAATTATTTATGTATGTACATGTACGTATCTATACATCTATTTTTATCTATAGAACTTTTGAAAATGTTTTGATATCAAAATGACTTAAACAAAATGGTAACAATCAGTGAAATACATATTGAAAGTTTCCCTAAATATTAGTTCTGTTTCATAAAAATGAGAAACCAAATAATTTTAGAGAAACTTCAACTGAACTGTAGATTGCTCAAAATGAAGATGAAACTGCCTAGAATATTTTTGTACATGACAGAACCTATACAAAGGTTAGTTTTTTCAGTCTGACATAAGCTTTCTTCATTGTCATTCAGGAAAAAGAATCACTTTCTGGTGCCAGGATACCTATCAAACATATTTACATTCATAATCTACTATTTAAACAAACATAAATATAAATGGACATATATATATATACTTATGTTAATTATTTGTAGGAAAATGATTAAAAAGTCATTTAATAATCAAGATATTTTAAACGTAAAAATGAATTAAAATGTGTTTTAATTATTCAGTCATATAAAAAGTACTGCTTTGTAGAAAACTTATACTACTTTACTAATAAGAATAAACAAGTATAATAAAAAATTAATCGTTTTTTCATAATGTTTATAGCTTTGAATTATCTTCCTGCACTTTATGAGTTTCATGTTTAATTATAAATCATTAAATGGGAAATATATTTCCAGAATTTAAGAGAATGCAATCGATATTTTAAAATTGTATCAAACATTTTATTTCCATTCCTTGAGGACATATATCTTAGTATACTGACAAACAAAAATATTGTAATCACTGTTATGAAGAACTACTCCTTAAATGAGCTGTAACATTGCAACTAGTATATTATGGGGGGCATGTTTAATGATTCTCAGGCTGTTATAATGACTTTTCCACATTTTCAAAACCCAATGGCATGAGGTACATTTCTACATAGACATTCTATGCTTATTAAATGTTAACTATTCATATTCAATTTAATGATGAGATGATATTAATAAAATATGCTCATAAAAGTTACAGATCAATCCTGTGATGACAATTTGTGTAAGCATGAACAGTCTCTAATATAGTTATACAAAATTTGCCAATAACTACCATAAAATATCTAAAAGAGATATAATATAGAGGAATAAAAATACATCCAAAAAAAAATTTCAGGTATAAAATACAAAAAATTAGAAGGATT